TAGTATTTGTTAGTAAATTGATAGTATTTGTTAGTAAATTGGTATTTGACTGCGTTTACAAGCAAAGTTTTTGAGTGAGTAGAGGCAGAAGTATTTGTAGACTGTTATTGGATGTTGGAATGAAACGAGATTACAAGTCGAGACAGAATAAAGACGACTTGACAGAATATTCACAAAAAATAGAGCCAGCCTGAGGCTATGATTTTGTTTGGTGATGATAATAAGCATTGACTGCACTGGCTGGATTAGATTATTTGGCTGCTGTTTGTATCTTATGAGGTGGATATGATGGGGGGGGGGTGTGTGCGATGATAGGTAGGTGGTAAGTGATAAGAAATAAGTAATCGTGTAAAATATTTGAATTAAACCAGTAGTAAGTAGGGTGCTCCCTGCCGAAGAAGAGCCAGCCAGGCTAATTCAGAGTAAATCAAGGAAAGAATTTAACCAAAATGAAATGACAAATAAGGCAAGCAAGAGAAAGAAGTAAGTAATGAAGTATGATGTATTCAAATGAGATGATTAAAAATAAAGGAAGGTAATGGCGATGGATTCAATTTTTATTTGAGAACAAAAAATTATCTGAAGAAGACAAAGTTAAGTGTTGAAATAAAAGTAGTAAGTTAACTAGTAAGTTAACTAGTAAGAAAACTAATAAGTTCTAGTATTGTGAATTGAGTNGATTCCATTAGATTGTGAATTAAGTGCTGCATGAGCAGATCTAGTATGAATCAAGAATGAATGCAATTTTCATTAGACATTTTGATAGGAAACATAACATTCACTTACTTACTTACTTACAATTAGTTACTTTATTCGTTTATTAGAATTGAAATGTGAAGAAGCAAAGAGGAGAAGATACCGAGGCTAGGCGGGACAACTTGTCGTTGTTTTTTGATTTCTTATAAAGTGTGACGATAATTAAACTTTGTTTCATTAATTTTCGATCAAGTTGCATTAGTAATCGTGTGTGTGTGTATGTGTCAGGTATTCATCAATCAATCAATCAATCAATCACCAGACCGCTGAATAAAATACTGCTATGAAATTGAGGTCGTATGAATTTATTGAGATTATATGTAAGGATAAACTGATGTGAGGTGTTGTGTGAAATTGGAAGGTGAGGTTGTGGCAAGAGCTTTTGAATAGGATTGTGTTGTGTTCTAGTGTTCTTTATTTTGTGGTTTGATAGCCATTGGTTTTATTATTATTGTTATTATTGTTGTTATTATTATTATTATTATTATTATTATTGTTATTATTATTATTAATTATTATTACTATTATTGGTAAGTTTCGTATCAGAAAGCATCTGAAGTACGGTATAAACAGACGAAGAAATAAGCTTGTTTAGATATGTAGGTGAGACTGGACTGCTGCACGGTTACAAGGTTTGTATGACATCCTATGCGAGATATATATGTTCATGCTGATCTCGTAATATTCATTTATTTATTTATTTAATCAGCAAATCAAACAACTCATTACGAGTTTATGCCTCTCTGTTATC